TGGTTCCTCAATCCAGAACCTCTGGTTCAAAACCAAAATATTTATAAAAGGCTTTAAGTTTAACAAGAGCCTCTGGTTCCTCAATCCAGAGCTTCCAATCTAAAATCAAGACCAACCAGAGCTCCTCTGGTCTATTTTTCGTAAAAAGAATCCAATTATAAAAACTCTCAAAATGATTTTTATAAAGGAAGTTTATTACAGAGCTCTTATTTAGAAGATGCAGAGCCTCAGTATGCGGAAGCCTTATTTTAAAAGCAGAGCTCTGTATCTAGCGGATACAGAGCCTTTGCACAAAAACCCAATTTTTAATACAGAGCTATGTATTTAACAAATTTTTGATTCAGAGCTCTGTATCTAACAGATACAGAGCTTCTGATTTTCACAACCGACTATGCAAAAACACTTACATTGTTTTCAAACACTAACCAGACCCTTCTGGTTCTTTAAAATAAATACCAACCAAAGCCCTCTGGTTCCTTGACAGGTATACCCAGAGCCTTTGTGGTACGTCTGGTTCAACAGTATGATCAAAACAGTTTTATCCAAAATCCATGACCAAGGGCCATTTTTTTCCTAATCCTGGACATCAATACTATCATCTCTAATAAGAACAACATCTCTGAATCCTCAAATCACTAAGAAGTGAGAACTCCAATCTGTTGTATCCTAAGAGGCATAATAGCAATAGTTATACTATGCACACACAACGAGCATCCTTATTACATCCACGATCCCCATCATAGCAACAGCTATCACAAACCAAACACGACCAACCTTATTTGCCCTGAAAATCATATGAAGTATTTCATCCAACTAACAGGCTGCAGTATTCCTGTTAAAGTGAAGCTGTTCATAGTTTCATCAAAATCTAGTTCCCTCCACAGGTTTATATTTTTAAAACCTGATTGAACCATAAGAACACTCATGTTCTTTCCAAACAACAATTCTTGTTCCCTCCACAGGTTTATATTTCAAAACCCGATTGAACCATAAGAACACTCTTGTTCTTAAATCATGGCTGTTTAAACTCATTTAGATCCTCAAAACAGAACCATAGATCATCCTGTTTTAAAAACACCATCTGCCTTCTGGTTACCCAGAAACAACATCCAAAAATAGTAACAGCTTAACAGCTGTTTGAAACCAGTCTAACATCTTCCAAATTAAGATCAAAACAGTTTATACCACAAACACATGAGGAGTTTAGATTCAAAACCACACACCTTTCTCAAAACAGATTCTGCAGCAAACAACAACTTTTAATATGGAACAGGTTCTGTTAAAAACAGCTGCTGTTTTAACATCTTTGATCAATCAACTTTTTGCACAAAATTCCACTCTTCTTTCCACATAAATTCTTTGAGATGAAAATGGTAATGGAAGATTCTTACCACATCTCTCTTTAAATAGCCACACACAGGTGGTTTTTAGAAAACAGGCAGTGGAAATTTACTTCATAGACAAGCAAACACAAATACTTGGTCAAGAAGGCTTCTTAACAGTAGCATCATACAAGCTGCTTACCATGGTGCTTGTATGCTGCTTCCAATTATGTGGACATAAATCATTCAGCAGCATCATACAAGGTGCTTACCAAGGTGCTTGTATGCTGCTTCCAATTATGTGGACGGAAATCATTCAGCAGCATCATACAAGCTGCTTACCAAGGTGCTTGTATGTTGCTTCTAATTATGTGGACTGAAATCATTCAGCAGCATCATACAAGCTGCTTACCAAGGTGCTTGTATGTTGCGTCCAATTATGTGGACATAAATCATTCACACCAAATACACATATAATCCATTTTATATAGCATGCATAATCACATACTTCCAATTAATTCATGCTTATTTAGCATCCATAATCACATAATTTACCTTAACCCAATATGTCTGAAAGCCTAGTTATCACACCTGGGATAGCACAGAGCGTTCATAGGTTTGGAGGATCTCAGATGTTGATGGAATTACCTTGAGCATGGCCCTTGAGAGTGGTTGGTTGATGGTGTAACCCTCCTTCGATAGGGTGGGTCGATGACCTTGCATTTTGAAGACAAGAGTGAACGGTTCTTCAGCCGGTAGACCATGTTTCCTCATTACATCCCCTATGAAGAGGGCTAAGAAACGAGGAATAGAACAGCAGATAAGGGTTTGCCGGTGGCCTGGAGCTTGCATTTCTTGACTACCACCGAGTGGATCTCATTGTATATGAGAAAGGCGTAGTCAA